TTTAATGTAAGTTTTTTGTGCTTTATATTCAGGGCGGGCCTCCTATTTAGTTTGGAATACGACCTCTAAAATATTGGGGTCAGGCTTGGTGGTGTTTGAATGTGAAGATTAGTGAAATCCCTACAAATATCCATGAGATTAGAAAAATGATCATAAAAATATTCCTAGGCTATTTCACATAGGATGGTCGTTATCACCACACAAATTGAGTCTTGACTTCATGAAAGATGTCAAGAACCTCTAAAATATGTTTAAATGTCGGGACTTCTTTAGCAATATAATAGATCAAGTACATTGATAAAAATGATTAATGGAGGTGACAAAAGATTGAAAATTAAAGATAAACGTAGCTTTATTTAGCCCTCAAACATGAGTACAAAGTCAAGAGAAGGGAGTGATTGCTCTTTTAAAAATTGCTTTATTTATCTTTTTTTTATATGAAGCTCTAGAATAAAATATTAAGCGTAACAAGAATAAATTGTCCTAATTTGATAAGATTTGGAGGTTGAAAGCAATTGCAAAGAAGCAATGATGTATTAAGATGGTTGTGTCAATCGTCTTCTCACTTTTTGACCCAACGCCAAACACATATTTAGTGGAGAATTTAATAGCACAATTAACACAAGCAATAAGTTTATGGACTGGTATAAAGTTGAATTGGGAACGGAGATATATCATACAAAGAATAATGTAAAGATGATGGTGAAGACACATTATCAGCTCTAATTTCTAAACAGAGAATTCCTTAAATTCGAGTAAAACTAAGCAAAATTGCAGAAAGAAGACCCCCTATGTTTCATAGGACTAAAAGTGCGTTCACATGACAAAATTGCTCTTAATGAAAGGGTAATGCTAGGCACACCTCCATTCTTACTTTATGTAATCCTCGGAAGACTATTTTATCCTTTACAATAGCTTCACACGGTGACAAGCCCCTATCAAATTTTAGAATTGACTCTACAATCAATAATTTGGTGAAATGTGGTAAACAATTTTTTTGTAAAATGATTCACTTCAGTCCCATTTTGTAAAATATTTTTTCTATTCATTCGGTAAACACAAATTATTCTTAACCTCTTACTTTATATATCAAATTTTTATCAATTTTGATTCTGTTTTTTGCGACTTTGTAAAGCATTGTAATTCTTTTGAGTGCGGACAGGGATCCGTTTGCTTTATCGTCGGTCAAATATTGTAAACCGTAAAATACCTTACAATTCGGGACGGAGGGAGTATAACTGTATAAGTTTTACATTTATGACTCGGTCTTTACATAAAATACATCACACTAAAAATAATATTTTTTAAAGTAAACGTAAAAAGTCTAAAAAAGTTCTAAATTTTGGTGGTCTCATCTAGTTTAGTAAGCATGTTGATTGAAGTGACTAAATTTAATGAATCTCTTAAATTATGAAAAAATCCAAAATAAAGAAATAGTTGTATGAGAAATAGTTTCAATAGCCATCTTTTGCAATTTCAGTCAAATTGATCAAAAAGTATATTCAACCTTATTTATTGAGATTATTTATCAGGCCTTTCCCATTAATATTACTAAATTAAATTCAAAAGGAAAAATATGACTTTTTTTAAAATATTCCAAAAAATAACATATTTAGTGACTATTTGATAGTCACTCGTCATCTACAGCGACTTGTCATTCTGAATTACACTATAATGACTAGTTTGCATTGACTCGTACATAGTGATTAATTATATTGTTGTCTATAAACATAACTAGTCATATTTAACTAGTGATTAAACCTGTAACACCAGCGTCGTGATGGTACGACCATTCAGATAGAGTATAGTCTGACATGAGACTAAAACGAGTGGAAGTGAAAATATCCATTACACTAAAAATTTAAACATGATTAAAAATTTACTTTTTTTGTAATTAATATTAAAAAACTTTAGAAAGATATACTACGTATGTCATATCAATCTAACATTCTAATGTTTTTAATTGAATTAAAATTTTATGGTCCAATAATCAAATTTGGTATGAATCAAACTGATGGAGTATATGGCCCGGGAACCCCCGGTCCACAGACTCCTACTACGCCAATAAAGGTCCAACAGGTCCAGGAAGCACAACAGGCCCAAATCACAGTGCCCAGAGTACCAAGCGGCCCACAGTGCGCACCAGGGGTGCCTTCGCCCCCCTGGCCGAAGGCTCCAATTCTCACAGGATGGCCAAATCAGGAAAATAAAGTTACTGGGAGAAAACTGCGAAAATCAGTAGCCCTCGGCACCTAGAGCCCTCGGCACTAAGGAGGTCTCCGGTGCTCAGAGCCCTCGGCTAGTCATCTACAGCCGAGGGCACCTTTTCCGACATGATATCCGCTCCACATGCGTATAGATCACCGTACCAAGTACGACGTCACATCCAACAGCCGCATTAAATGCGGGCACATGCGTTTGCCAGCGCCAACCAGTTGAGGTGACCCCTCGACCAATGGATGCTTGACACGTGTCCCTGTCCGGCATTTATTGCTACTATAAATAGCACCCCATTTCCCCGTTGTAAACCACGCTGAAAACGCTGAATACATTTTCTAATATACTCTCTCTCTACTTACTTGCTCTGACTTCTCTCTAGTTACTCCTCGTAATAACCCCTCGGATAAGCTACCTCCCGGGTACGCTATCCATCACAAACCTTAAATAGTTTAATGTATTACTTTTTAAATTAATAAAACGTTGGGATTTATTAATAAAACGTTAGGATTTAAAATGTAATGATAAAATAATAAAATGGGTGTGCGGCTGTGATCCATGGCTGTGGGAAAAATCGCAGGCGGAGAGGCGGGGAGGCTAGTTGACGGTGTGCGATGGACAGAGATAGATGTCGCCATTGAATCTGAGGGAGAAGCCCTTGTCCCTGGGCTTCTAGGTTTAGTTAAAAGAAGGCAAAGATGTAATCTGGAGTCCTATTTTATGGAAAAATAAACTTGTAGTCCTACTTTGTAGTTTTGTCATTTTAGCCCCATTTAGGATAAATTCTTATTTTTATGCCTATTAACCCATCATTGGTGGCGGACCTAGAACTTTTCTCAAGTATGGACACATCTGTATGGATAGAGACGAGTTGAATCCGATGTGAGATTAATTTATTATGTCTAATCTGCATGTGTAGACAATTTTTAGAAAATGATATAAGTTATTTGATGGCAATTTCAAGGGATATACATCTATGTTTTATAGGTCTAGTTCCAACCCATTAAAAGCAATGATTGTTGATTTTAAATCACTTTCATCATCAAATATACCCCCTTCATCCCACAATACTTAGCCAAATTTACTTTTCTTGATAAATGCTAATAAACTTTGGACAACGATTTTAGTTATTATTATATTTGCGTGAAATTTAAAAATTTTATACTTTTATAAAAGTGTTTTTCACGAAGAACATTTCCATATAATTTTCATATTTTAAATAATTTTGTGTTAAAATTATTTGTCAAACTCAAACATCATTGATCAAGAAAAGTCAAAATAGGCAAGTTTTATGGGACGCGATTGTATTATCATAAACTTGCATGTAGTTCTCAATGTGAACCCTAACATGTAATTCTCGACCGAGCTAAACTTCTTTCTTTATGAGTTTCAAATACACCCTTTTCTAACATATCTCCCATGGTTTCATATTGTATTATTGCCTTTGCCTAAACTCATCCTTTTTTAAAAAAATATTCAATTAAATTATCCACAAACTTCTTTTTAGAGACTGCTATTTGAATACCGCTATGTCCTACTCCCTCCATCCCAAAAACAACTTCCCACTTTTCTTAAATGGATGTCCCAAAATTAACTTGACACTTCTTCTCACTTCCTTATTTGGCAAACAGTGTCCAAACAGTATCACAACAGTAAAATTTTGGGAAAGTCAAACCAAAATTTTAATCTACCTAAATGTGTGTGCTAGTCAAACTGAGAAGTTGTTTTTGGGACGGAGGGAGTATAAAACTTGTCCTATAAATTATCCACAAACTTCTTTTTAGAGACTGTTATTTGAATACCGCTATGTCCTAATAAAGTAAAAATTGTACTATAAATAAAAATGACCAAGCTTAAAATGACCAAGATTTGTGTTAAGAAGAAAGAAACAAATTTAACCATATATTGATTACTTTAAATAAAAATGACCAAGCTTTTTAGGACATCCAAATAAGAAAATAAGGAAAGACGATGAATGCAACATTACATTTTATTTGTTTTTGTGAGTAATTTTGTTTGAAAACAAGTTTTAAAATACAAAAAATAGTGTGTCAATTTTTCTTTCGGACTTTAACCTATCCTACCCGAATCAAAACCAAACCTGAGCTACCAAAACCCGACTCATATGATGTAGGGTTGGACTCGGGTCCGGGCCGGGTCCGGGTCGGGCCTAGGCCCGGGCGGGCCGGCGGTTCAAGAATAGAGGACCCGGGACCGGCCCGGGTAGCCACTGGGTCCGGGCCGGGCCGGGCCTCCGGTTTGGATTTTTTTTTTTTTTTTTTTGCTTTCCTAACCCCCCCCCCCCTCACCCCCACCCTCCCAACCCCCCCAAACCCATCCTACCCATCAAGCCCAACCCGGGTGGAACCCCAAAAATGAAAAAAAAAATTAAAAAAATTCAATTTGGCCCGGGCCCGGGCCCGACCCGGCCCGGCCGGTTCACCAAAATTGAGACCCGAGCCCGGACCCGCCCTACCCCCCGGGCCTAGGCCCGACCCGGACCCAGACCCGAGAACCGGGCCGGTCCCGAGCCCGCACAGTAGCGGGCCGGTCCCGGTCCCGCACAGTAGCGGGCCGGTCCGGTCCACGGGCCGGGTGGCCCGACCCGAGTCCAACCCTAATATGATGGCGTGCATTCCGGTCTCAAATTTTCATAACCCGAGGTCTTACGGGTAATTTCATGAGTGTAGCAAAAACCCAATCCAAACCCGGCAACCCCAATGGAAAGCCAACTTGAAATTTCAAGTTGAGTTAAGGTCATATTGGTGGCTGTATAAAGAGGAAAGAGATATTCTTGTTTTGGCAAAAGAGGAAATAAATATTGTTATCATTCCTCCTCATACATCATGACTTGAAACTTACAGGGTACATCAAAGATTACATTGGGCATGCCAAAAGGTTAGAGTGCTAGAGGAAGTGAAGTGTTCACAATATTTTCGGACAACACTATATTTCCTATCATTTTTTTGCTATGACTATCATGATCAAAAGCACAAAAAGAAACTATGACTATCAAAACTCTGCAAGGAAACTATAACGAGCCTGTTCTTGTCTGCTCAAAAGAATGTTTTTGCAAATCCACCCCAACAGTGACATCTGTTCAATCAGCAGGTCCAAATTTACATCCGCTGATTTCTTTCCACTTTCTATCAAGTCTAACCATTCCTGAAGAAATGCATCTGAACAGTTCAAGCCCTTCAATTTAGTCTTCCACCTGCCCCAGCAACATACAAGACCCTTGCGCACATATAAAGCCTACAAATGGCACGGAAAGTCAGAAACCCGTGTTAAAAAACAGAAAATAATCCTAAAAGTTCATTTATGCCCTTAAAACTCATCTTACATGTAATAGAGCCATAATGATTTCTTTAGTGCCTGCTCCTTCCCGCAGGCTGAGAAGTAAACCATACTGCGGTCAACAAAAAACAAACTATGAGAAATGCATTAAAATTTTGTATTTTTCTCTTAATAAGGAGATTAGAGAATTTAATTTGGCAATTACCTGTTCCACGCCTTCCCCTTTCTTAGGGAATCTCTCCAGGCATACAAAATGGAAATCATCACTTTTTAAATTTTGCATTGTCATCACTGAAAGCCTAGGCATTTGATTCTTGGAATTTAAGCATCCAATTGTAATGGGAAACTGTATTCTGGCTGATATAAGAACTGTTCATTATTCTCAAGCAGACAGTGAAAACAATGAACACCTACTACAGCAATAAAGAAAGTTGACAGTTGACACAACACACCTTTAGCCCAAAACAAGTCAATACCCTCAGCTTTGCTCACCTCTGCAGGTGAAGGAACACGTTGCTTTTGAATCCACAAGCTTAATATAATCTCAAGTCTATCCTGAACATGTACATTGCGAAATCAGGGTTTTCCTTGGAAGATGGAAAAGTGAGTTTAAAATTACGGATTTGTTCACTTGGACTGATTTCAGTTCCACACCACATGGGTAAGACTTAAACAAACCAGGTATGCAATAAATAGTACTGCGTAATAAAACACATTATATCAAAGTGGTCCAGGTAAAAGCAGACTTAAAGGACAAGGCCAGATCAGTTTAGACAACTAAATTTCAGTCCAAATGAACAGGTCCTAACAACTACGTCTTAGAAGAAAGAACTCGGGAGAGAAATAAGTTCATAAGCTTAATATATTTTTGTTATAATATTCCAGAATCAAATACGAACCTTAGTCAATGTTTGCAGATGTACATGTTTCAACCCTTGATAGATACCAATGAGGTCAAGTGCAGAGAAGATTGGATACAGAACAAATGGTAAACCTGCTTGCAATCTTTTTCACATTTCATAGAGGTTACAAATAAGAAATAGACAAGCCTTAAAAAACAAAATAAATTAATGCAGATAGGAGTAACCGAGTAAGACATGGATTATGTGCACAAATATGCCCATTCTTGTTTACCACTTTCGGCCCTAGACAAAAATAGTTAATTAATCTTTATCTAAGGTTGTACGGAGTATAAGTTATTTTTAGGAAAAAATCATGATGGTCCTATTTATAGAAATGTGTTACGTTTTTTGGAATCCTATTTATATGAAATTTTCTCAGTTAAACAAACTTAAAATGAACCACTTACAAATTATAAAATCAAATATTCATAAAGTGAAAGCCTACAAGATCAACATTAGGCATGAAAGGCAGCATACACAATTTACTGAGATAATATTGATATCTGGAAGAGTAAAAACCTTGGATTATATCGGCACAAGATATTTAAGACTGCGGCAAGCATAAGGCCAAGATTATCAAAGCACATTAGTTGTATCTAAAACAAAAATAAGCATCAGATAAAATGAAAACAAATAAAGGTTCAAAAAAGGTACAGAAGTTACCTGTGCCTTTGCAGAAATTTCACCAAGGTTGTCGTACATTGCAAAGCTCCTATGGACAGCAGTCTGACAAGTTATGACAACCAAAATTAATCATGTCTGAGGTTGAAGACCTTTCTCATAAACTGACAATATCAAACACTTTCAGCAACACTCAGCCAAAAAAGTAAATTATAACAAGGGAAATATGTTAGATACTTAGATAGGCTAATACAATTATACAATCTTTAAAAGGACTTCGGTAAAACACTAAAGCAGATTAATGTTGTTAAAATCCCACATCGGACAACTAAACAGAAAACGATTCGTTAATAAGACCTTGGGTTGAACTAGCTAACTGATTGGACTCAATCTTTTAACGTGTTTTGGCCCAAGTGTCTTATGGCCCAGATGAACGAACCCAAACCCAATCCAGTATTCTATCAAATATGTTTTGTGCTTAAACGAAGACTTACACCAGTTGCTATGTAGCAAGCCAGGCTGATTTGTTTTGCGATGTTGGCAATAGATGCAAGCACCAAAAAGTAATGAGGAAATAGAGGTGTGAGCAATTCAACTCCAATGCTCAAACTGAACAGCACAGATGTTGAGAATCTAACTCTCTGCAGTCAAGAGAAGCGAATGAGAAGAGGCAATTCCATCTTTCTCTGAGCCAGGATGTAAATACATACCTTGAGATTGGTGTCAAAAGCAGATGCCAAACTTGAAGTGTATATGCACCTACATAGTCGTCCAAGGCCATCTTTCAATGCCCAATTTAGCGCAGCTGCTGATGGAAGTGAATGAGAAGAACCAATTCCAATCGCTCGAAACATTGCCTATATTGGTTCAACTTACCAATCAAAATCAGTCAAAGGAACCAATTCAGGTTTCAATTTGTTTCGCAAAAAAGATTACATACACTGATACAGGACCCATTGGCTTGAATTCAAAGCATTATATAGCCATGCGTTAACAAATAGTGATGATAGATGTGATTGAATATCGAAAGTGAGGATTTCTACCAACTCTAGATCATCATCTAAACATGGGAAAATCCAAGCATTATAATAGCTTTAAATTACCTGTCTCAAGCACTACTCATCAGTCAATCCAGCTCGCTTTTAACTTATACGGAGTACTTCAGTACTTGTTACTTTTGTAACACTCATATTAGTTTTACTTGATTCAACAGAACTTCTGATGTAGTTTCTAAATATATACGGAGTACATTTTAATGGATAATACTCATTCAAAATATACAGTTGAGACAACTAATTTTAGTTTGTAAGTTTTGATTACTAATACTAACTTAATATTTAGGATTGAGGCAACGAATTTGGAACAGAGTAAATTCTAAACATGAAAAAATCCAAACAATATACACCTTGTATTCCAAATGTTTCATCCAGTATTCATCGGTCAATCCAGCTATTTTTTAAATTTCTAGATTCATGTAGCAATATATTGTTATATTCAAATTACTCATCACTTATGATATATCATACAGGTTAGAAATTTCAGTGTTGTTCGTAAATATGTAAATTTTATTTAGTAAAACGAATTTAAAATTTAGGGATTAGGGTTGAGACAATTAATTATAGTTCCTATATCTAAATATGTAAACTTGAAGCCTTTAATTACTAATATTAGTTTAAAAGTTAGAGTTTAGGGCTGAGGCAACTCATTCGTAAAGGAGAGACTAAATCTTGGAGCTGAGTTAACACCAAGAAATACCTGTGTAGCAAGAACTTGCAGAGCAGAACTGAATAGCCTATGAACAAACTTCCATTTCACATATTCCAGGTAATTCACACTCATGTCCCTGGGAAGGAAGAAATCCCTTACTGCAGAAACACACACCCGGACAAACCTTTGAACGCCTTCGAAATTACAACAAAAGTCTGACAAAGAAAGCGCCTTTCCGTCAAAAGATACCAATTTGAGCTCGTTCCCATCCCAGAAGTACTGAGAGATGCCGCCGGACTGGCGAATGATTACAGGAAGACGAGAAGGAGTTGATGGTTGTTCGCGGCTGCGCTCATCTTTTCCTATGGCGTATTCAATGTTTAAAGAATCGGTCTTGAGGGAATTTCTCGGAATGAAGGGTTTAAGAGAGGTTCTGGGATTACAAGTTCGGGTGTGGATTACAAGCCATGAGTATGAAGTGTTCAGTGAGGTGGATTGCATTGGAAGTTGATAAACTACGAAGTCTACAAGAAGATTGAGAAATTCGGGTTCCTTTACCACTTCTCAGAACTTCATCGCATTAACGAGAATAAATGAATCAGTCAGGGTAACTGAAAGAAAGAATGAGCTTAGCTACTACTCATCCAGTCATCCTTTATAGTCCTTGGCCAAAAATCCGCTTCACAAAAAAAGATACTAGTGACAGTAGGAGTGGTGGTAGGGATGGAATGTTGATTTGGTTTAACAGCATCCAATAGTACCAAACCTAATTACACCGAATTGAAACCGAATCATATGCAATTTGGATTGATTTTGATAGTATTTCTTTCAACCCGTTTCAAACCAGATCGAATCAAAATCGATAAAAAACGAACAAAATCGAACCTAACTAAAGAAATTCAATAAAACATTTTGTTGGAGTAATTGGTCCAATACAGGGACGGTCCAATACCCCGTGCAGAAAAGGTACCGGGAATCTAGCTTCTAAGGCCCAAAGGCCACCTGACACCACATCCTTAGGCCGTTAAACCAGCAAGCATAGTGACCCCGTCCGGCAGACTTAGTTTCAGTTGGCGGGAAAGTAATGAATTTGGCGGGAAACACATTAAATGCACCAGATATGTGAGATTCGGTGGTTGGAGGCTTAGCCACTAATAGCCCTCCATATCATCATTATCACCTACCCCAATGTAGTATAAATAGTACGTAGTAGCATTTATTTCATTACTAGGGGTTCACAACTTGTACTCTTAGCTTTAGCTCTCTACTCTTCTGTACTCACGGTTTAGACAAGACGTTCGGCCCTCGGCCGAGTAGGGTGTGTTGTAATTATTCTTAAATACTTAATGGAACTCGGTCCGCTTACCGTTTTTCTCTCTTCTTCTAAGTACTTGTGCCCTTGAACCGTTAATTAACCCACAAAAGTATAATCAATCCATCAAAATATCCAACAAAATCCCAAAACAAAGTGTTGGTCCCTTGGATCCAGAGGAACAAACCTCAACACCTTCATATGTTATTAAAAAAATAACAAATTCAAACTGAACCAAACTGAACTAAACTTAACCAAACTGAACCGAAAATTAATATGGTTTTTGTTTGGTACTAACTCTCCCAACCCGTTTCAAACCGAACCAAAAGCGATAAAATCGAACAAAAAATAGATATGCTCATCCCCGATCCCTACAAAATAACCTAATAGTGCACGTCCCCCTAAAATACAATCAATTATATCAAGTATTTCATCCTTTTATGATGGTCAATGTACAAACGTTGACCATTGGTATCATTGATTGATTATTGGTACAAAAATTATAAAACTTTTATGTTGAAAATTATAAATTGAGAATTTCAAAATAGTTTTCACACTGATTTTCAACTACATTAATAAGTAAAAATATGACTAAATTAGAAAATGTGAATTAAGGAGTATATAACTCACCACTATGGAATTTTTTCCCACAATGCATCAAACTTTTGTAATTATTGAAGACCATAAATTCTACTCCGTAATTTTATAGCATTTCGACATATTTTCAATTGAGTAATTAATGATATTAAATATAACTAACATGTGTAGGCCCTAGCATCAACAAACAATGCCGCAGAAAGCCCATGTCACGGGGACGTGCGCCAACCCACCAAGCTAGCTTGACCGCCCCAGCCCCCAAGGACTCTTGTCTCTCATGCGTAATAGCTGGGACACATTGGTGGTGTTTGGATAGCAGTGGATTAACCAATCCGTCATTGTTTTAATGAAGGAAAAGGTTGTTATTTCCAGCGGATTGACTACAAACCCCCGATAATAAACAAACAACTCATTGCACACATCTAGGAAATCTATTTTAAATGCCCCCCTACTCAAATGGTAGAGAGAGCCGAACTCTTGAAATCACATTGCATTTACCATGCATGATGTATATGAAAATTAATTTTCTCAAACATCTTAATTATCATCTTTAATTTTTTAAGAAATCTAACTGATTTTAAACTAAAATTAAACAAATCATAAATTCATTTTCCCCCTATGTATATTGCCATCTCCCTTAAGTTGACAAGTAGCATATAGACACCATTAAAATAAAATAGAGCTCTTTATGATCTACAATGCAAGTTAGTGCACTTTTCACTCCGTGAGAGATAAATTTAGGTACCAAATTACCTTTTCCTATACCATTGCTTCTACAGTTGCTAGTCTGCTCACAAAGAAAGACCTTTGTTTTTACAATTAATATTTTGTATGTGCAATCTTGTGTGAGTGGATTTTATACTAAAAGATGATTTTTTGTGATCATTTTTGTTCTATCTAATCAAATCCTAATTAGAATTTACTATCTTCCATCTTTGCCTCTCAAGACAATTATGGTAAGCCAAAAGTTATGACTCTCCTTCGTACCCAAGTATGTCATTGTCACTTTCTCTACATCGTCATTGTCTTCCATACACTAGCTAACGGAGAAGAAAAACCGCGACTCGTGTGCGCGGGCGACATGCGGACACGAATGTCGTCCGAAAATCTATCATTCAAAGACCTTGAGGTCTTCTGGTCGCAACAGAACTCTTGAGGTGTTCTGTTCGCAACAGAGACGCTCGAGGTCTTTTGGTCCGTTACAGCAATAAATGTCAACATTCTTGTCTTTTAATGCTGCGTTAAATGGACAGTTTATGGACGATTCAATGCCCGGCGGACTGGTCATTGATGTCCAACGTTTAGCACACGATACATTTAACACACAACAAATCCTCCTATAAATAGCTAGCAGGTGGTTTGCAACAAGACACAACACACAATACATTCCTCACATTTTCTTGAGCTAAAAACACTTCCAGCTACTCCAAAATTTCCTAAGTGTTCATACTGTGTTCCAGTTCGCCGGAACATTCGTTTGTGTGCTCAAAAGTTAGTTCGTTAGCCATCGTATCCTGGGAAACGGTCATTGCAACGCTCTTAGCACCGTGTGAGGTGATAAATACGTTTTAAGGACATCGTGCGTAGCATGAGCTCTGGCTAAACTCTGTTCCATCTTATTTTTGGTTTTCTTTAGCTATTTAAATTAATTAATTATTTTTATTAATTAATATTTCTTCGTTTTTCTGAGACACACCCAACACAATCAACTTTTTCACTACACTCTCTATATAGATCATGTAACTTTCAACACCACATAGTCACATTAATAGCATATAACTTTTCTGTCCCCTCTATTATTCATGCTTTGCCTTGAATAGTTTTCTAGACTCTTGAGGAAGAAAACAGAAGAAAATGGTTTTAATTACCATCCGCTTTGTTCTTCTCTCTATTACACATTTGGCCTATGCCGATGAGCTTATGCTATTCTCAAGAGGAGATGCACATTCTATTAGCATATTGGTCAAATCACTTGAGGATTTTGGAGTCATGTCTGAACTTAAAGTCAACCATGACAAGTCAAACATTTTTATTGGGGGTGTCTTCGACCATGATATAAGGCATATCCTTGATTTGGTGGATTTTGGGCGTGGGACTTTCTCAGTCAAATATTTGGGCATACCGCTTGCCCCATTAAGGGTGTCGGTTGCACAATACTCTCCACTTTTGGATACTATACCCGATTTCCTGAATGTTTGGAATGCAAAATCTATATCCTATGCCGGAAAACTTGAACTCATTCGATCAATTGTACAAGGGGTTCAATCTTTTTGGCTCTAAGTTTTCCCGGTCCCCCAAGCTATCTTGGATAGGATTGTATCTATTTGTAGAATTTTCCTTTGAGGAGGTAAATATGCTAGAGTATCTTGGGATGATATTTGTCCACCAAAAGAGGAAGGGGGCCTCGGCATTCACAATGCCAAAGTATGGAATGAGGCCCTCCTTACACGTACTCTTTGGGTCATACATAACAAAGAAGATACTCTTTGAGTCTGATGGGTTAATGTCATTTATCTTAAAGGAAAAATGTGTGGAAATTTTCCCCACACAACCGAGACTCACAACTTATGAAGAAATTATGCCTAATCCGAGATAGGATTTGCAAAAAGTTCAACAATGCAAATGAGGCTATTATGGCCTAGAATAACATGTGTGTAAATGGCAAAATTATTTCGGCCAAGGTCTATGACTTGTTGCGAACAAAAGGAACAGTTAGACCATGGATGCCATTTATTTGGAAGGGTACATTCCCCCTAACTTTTCCTTTACCGTTTGGCTTGCTTTTCAGAACCGGTTACCAACACAAGATTACCTCTCCTATCTAAATATGGTTAACCGATGTGACCTTTGTAAGGGTGGTTTGGAAACAACACCACACTTCTTCTTTATTTGTCCGTTTGTTTGCGGGATTTGGGCGAAGATAAGGGAATGGATTGGCATCACAAGACAGATGACTACCTTGGAGAAAGCAATAAACCGGATTAGGAGAGACCATAGAGGTGCACTCATCAATTCAAAAATAGTCCGCTTGGCATTCTGTGCGATGACTTATTGGGTATGGCATAATAGGAATGCTTTCCGCTTTGATGATATTACGAAGACCGAGGAGGATGTTGTTGCAAAGATCAAACACGTTGTCTACAAGATACTCTAGAAAATTTATCCGTATGAACCAATTACATTTTGATATATGCTGTATTTTGATTTCCTTAGCCACAACTAATGTATGTTTTGTGAAACTTTGGTGTGTGCATCTTGCAACACCCGCTGATTTTTGTTTTGGTAGTCTTTGGGCCAACCTTTATTGGGGAGGGCCTTACTAGATTAGATGGTGACCAACCTTTTTGGTAGGTTGCCTTATAGTTTTGGACACATGTGTACATGTTATTTTTTGCGATGATATACTCCCTCTGTTTCAGTTTCTTTGACACACTTTTCTTTTTTGGCCGTTTCAAAAAGATTGACACACTTCCTTATTTCCTTATTTAGTAAACAAATCTTTCCAAAATAGTGCAAAACATTGTCAAACAGTGCCAAACAGTGTCAAACAGTGTTCCCAACAGTAAAATTTGCCCTTAGTAACATTTTTCCTTAATTCTTGACAAGTCCAACTGTGTCAAACAAATGGAAACGGAGGGAGTATATATATATTTACAGGTTCATCCAAACAAAAATTAATAGCATGATGAAGTGATGATGGTGTCATGATCAAAACTAGATGTTGGTCCGAAATAGGATGCTCGTAGGCTTTTAGGAAAGCTACGACAGACACTTAAGAACAAATTAGGAAAGTAAGAACGAAAATGGAAAGTAGCTAAAG